CATCCCACCACTGTCTCCTATACACATAAACACACACAGTCTATTGTTCCATTAGTCATTAAGAGGCAGAGCACTAGACAGTAACATTTAAGCCAAGCATTCTGAATGGTTAAAAGATAGCCTCATCTGTTGTAATGTGAGTTTGTTTCTGTGTTGTGTGTGTCTTGGTGAGTGGGTGTGTGTGTGAGAGAGAGAGAGACAGAAAGAGAGAGAGAGAGTGGGCGATCGATGCAGTAATCTACAGGAGGTGGAAAGCACAGAGAGCAGGCCATTCAGCAGTGCTCACTAATCAATTGCAATTCTTTCTCTTACTGTCTTAATGCCTAGATTTAGACATTGTTGCGTGTGTGGGTGTGTGTGTATTTGTCTTTTTTTTTTCTCCTCTTTTTATTGTCTGTGGTCCGGCATTTAGGCCTGCATGGTGTGTGTTGGTGTGTGAGAGGTTTGAACACCACGGCCCATTAAAAGCATTTCCTGTCTGTTCTCTGATGTGATGCAGAATTCCACTACAACCTGAGCGCCAGTTCTGCAGATAACTCTCTGTTCTCCAGTTCTTTTGAAACTGGGATACTGGGATTGTAGAGAAACTGTTTGGTTGTCGGTCTTGCAGTGAGCTATGTCTGCTGAAACACTGCTCAGCCAGTCAGACCCCCCCCCCCCCCAAAAGGCTGCAGTTCTGTAGTTAGTAATTAATTGTGAATAAAGAGAGCATTAAACTGTTGTCTCATTGCTCCGGTCCTGACAAAGATATAATTTATGCTTCTGCTATTCTTGATGTGTATGAACGTGTCAGAGGATGATGGCATGGATTTCCAGATGCATTACAACATATACATTTTACTTATGTAAGGCTGCATCCCCATGCCCACCCCTCCCTCTTGAAAAATTTAAACCATTATAAATTACTTCCAACATTTTCCATAAAAAATAGTATTTAAAATGTGCAGTTCTGTCCAGCTCAAACTCAAATATGGGAGAAGAAAAAATAAATAGATGAAAAATGAATACATAAGATTTTTTGAAAAACCTTGGATTCATAAAGGTACACCATTAAGCTAAAACTTGTTCTGGTTTTATGAAACATGAATAATGTTCAGCTAAGGAGGATTTCCATAACATTTGCCTGTTGAACCTCACAGAACCTCTCCTTGTCTTTGCATGGCTTTTAAAAAGAGAGAAAATATTAAGATGAACTTCATTTAGGGTTCGTCACATACACTATGTGTCATAGCATGCATTTCACAATAAAAGTAAAATGATATTTTAAAATATTTGAAATGTTTTTTTTCTGTCACAGACAGCCGGCTCCATAGCAGGAGTCTGGATTCAATTCAGCATGATTGAAACGCTGCACTCTGTTGTCACTGACTGAAGACAATCTGTTGCTTTCATACTGAATTAAAAACTAATCATGTGACTACTACTACCAATACCAAAAATAATAGTACAACTATCATTAAAATAGCATTCATGAAGAAGGAAGACAGAAATTTGAGTCCACTGCAGTTCAATAACTCCAGCCTCTACTTATGCTATTTAACTGTGATGGATTGGCATGTAAAAATCATAATTGTTTTCTTTTTCTTTTTATATTGTAACATTTTTCAGTATAAAAAAAACAATACAGAAGATATTTTTGATTATAAAAAGACAATAATTTGGCATTTAATTTTTATATATTAGTATTTACAAAGGAAACTCAAAATCTATTTTTTTAGATTTTGACCATTTGATGCAATCAAAACATCAACATCAGTATTTATTTGACTAAATACTGAAATATGTCTTTGCAGCTTTAAAGTATTTAAACCAAAAGTGAATACATTTGGATGTCTCGGTGTCTAATATGTCTTTGTATTGAAATTGTTTCCATAGTTTTGAAATATCTCTTGCTGAGAATGAAGCGGTAAATGATCGGTCAAATTAGAAGAACAATATAAACAGAAGGAAATGGGAGCGGCTGCAGAAAACAGACGGCTCTGCTAACCTACCAAGCTGCTGTCAGACAGACAAAACGCATCAAAGCTCTCTGCCCTGACACACACAGATAGGAAATATAGAATCAAAATTGCAATTACCTGCTGAATTTCTAAAAGGTAAACAAATCTGTGAACAAAAGACCTTCACCTCAGCTCACTTGCTTCCTTGTTACACACATACACACCCTCGCAAACAGTGAGAGCAGCATTAGTGTTCTAGTTAGCATGCTGAAATGAATACAGTTAGATCCAAAGCAATTTCCTCTTATTTATCTTACCAGCCCCGCATAAATAAAGGCAAGGGCATCCAGGCAATTAGCATAATTACTATGAGGCGGTCAGACCCTCTGTGATTTCATAAAGAGAGAGACACACACACGCAGAGGGGCCGCTGCCACAGGGTGTGTGATTGTATATACTGGTGTGAGACAGAAAGAAAAGAGTAAAAGAGATGGAGCCTATGTCTGTGTGTGTGTGTGTGTGTGTGTGTGTGTGTGTGTGTGTGTGTGTGTGGGGGTGTGGGGGTGTGTGTGTGTGTGTGTGTGTGTGTGGGGGGGGGGGGGTGGGGTGTGTGTGTGGTGTGTGTGTGTGGTGTGGGTGTGTGTGTGTCGGTGTGTGTCTGTGGGGGTGTGCGTGTGCGTGTGTGTGTGTTTGTGTCAGAGTGGTATTGTTTTTTTAAGTTTGTGGTGTGTGTGACTTATTCTATGACCAATGGTTCCGTCTGCTGCATGTGTGTGATATTTGAATCTGTTTACTTCGCTGTTTGGCTGCATGCGTCCGTGTGTGTGTGTAAATATTGTCCTTGATCTACTTGCTTCCTACACACTGCATGCCAGTTCATTATAAGACTGGGACTTACACCCTACTATATAGGTGTAATTGAAAATAAAATGACATGGACAAGCGCTTACATCCACATGCAGTCACGTGTGCTGACCACTGAACACTCAAATCAGAAATCCCCATGCATATGTTTTATAAATATGCAAATCAAAGTGAAGTAAACAAAGAAAATAGAAACAATATCTCTGCACACAGACTGAGGTCAGCAGACATGGGGTCTGTGTTTTTGTTGCAAGGTTTTCTTTTTTCTATGTGCTCTTTAAGCAAAACTTATTTTTTGAATATCACCTCCACACACACAGGAGAGTTCTGTCCCAGAACTCTCCTGACTGTGAGCACAGGCTTAGATAACACACAAAAGTTGATAAGGACTTAACAGACACCTTTACTTAATTTTTCCTAAAAAGTAATTTCCTCTGTAAAATAAGAAAGATTGGCCTGTATGTGATATGCTGAATGTGTTTGTAACACACGTGAATGAAGCTGTTTCTTTGATGAAAGCTGTTCATGCTGAAGTCAGTTGGCCTGTTTTATCCATGTCTTTGTGAAGCTTCCACTGACCTTCCAGGCCCCTGGTGACCTTCTGCAGAAAAAAAATGAATATGAACCGAATAAAGAGAAAACCACAACAGAGCTGAAGACAATGTTCTGAATGATATTTGGTGGGAGTTGTTGTTAAGGGAATATATGAGGCAACCTGGGCAACATTATGTTTGCTTGCAACACATCTATGACTGTGTGAAAGTGTGTGTTCACATCAGCATTATATCAGAATAGTTTAGACACACACACTTCATCACCTCTAAAATTGCTTTCCAATTCTAATTAATCCATGTTAATCCCTATGAAACTGGCAGATTTGCCTACATTCACCTGGAACCTCTTGTTCCTAAACCTTGACCTCAATCAGACAAACCGAAACACCAGAACAGACGGGAAAACACGTGCTGGGATTATCTACACATGTCAGTCTTTCTATGTGTTTGGCTGTGCCCCATTTAACCCATGACCATCAGCAGCTTAATAGCAGAACCTGAGGAAGTGCAAGGGTAGAATAAGCATTTTCTGTGTGTCCTCGTATTTTTTTCACAGGGTGATGAAGAGTGTGGGGTCATGAGAAGGGACTTTTTGAATTTTTGGATCAACTAAGAATCAATGTGTTTTGTCTTTGTTTTCAAGGTTGTGTGATCAGTGTAAAATATTTTATCCAACACTATCGTAGTCTAGATCTGAGGACTGAGGTCTTTGGGTGTGTGTTTGATTTTTTTAACTATTGTTGAAGAAGCTGTGACATGACATACAGATCAACAGCATTAGACAGATTCCGGCCTGAAAGGGCCCCCTTTGCAATATGCGTATATGAAATGTGTGTGTGCGTGTGCATGTGTGTGTGAAATAATGTGCTGTAGTTGAGTGCTGCATCGTGAGTGTCACATAAATGCACCATTAGACATGCTGAGCCTTCTGAAGGCTGGGTCTGTCACAGATCAACTTTTCCAATGGTGATAAAGAAAAATAGAACACCCAACAAGGGAAAACAATGTGAGATCAGTATTTCAAAGCTCAAAACAAAGTTTTAAAGTTCATGGGTCTACATGTACGTAGAATCAATAGAGAGGATAATTGAATAACTAAGTGACATAAATATATTTTGGTGATTTGATTGATGCACAAAACAACTCAGAAGTGACCAAGTTCTCTGCAATAACACCAAAACAATGGGAAACTGACAGATGAGCATGTAACTAAGCTCATTTTCCAAAAACAAAGAAAAGATCAAACAGTTTTCTGTGATCACTTTTATTTAAAAACACATTGAGCCATTCCTAAGATTATCTGTTTTTCCCCCTCATTTCATTTTATTCGCCTCAGTTTCTGAACCTCTCCCCCTTATGGTTTTCTTTAAAGATTTTATTGATTCTAGTGGTCTTTATTTGAGGGAGGAAAGTGGGTAATGAGAGAGGACGACATTGACCATATGGCGAAGGTCACCAGGCCGGGACTCGAACCTGTGAGCCCCGGCTAAGGCCTCCTTTACCCCTGTGCACCGCGGTACCCTTCACCCCCCCATTTCCTCTCTCCCGCTTATGTTGCATCTTCAAAAATTAACCTCTTACTAAGACAGACTTAAGGGTTCAGAAGTGCATTTAATGCTTGTCCTCTATCTGTGTTTTTCAGTCACTGGACGGTTTTGTATTTGCACTAAACAAGGAAGGACGTTTCCTCTACATCTCTGAGACTGTTTCCATTTACCTGGGATTGTCACAGGTAAGCCTCCCCTAACGTCTCACAACAAAATGAATATAAAAGAAAAATTCCACTGAAAGTCATTTTGACTATAACTCTGGCTTCTCCTTTTTTGCATATTGTGTCTTTTTTCCTCTTTTGATCTGTTTTGCATCTCTGTTATTCTTCCCTCTCCTCCTTGTGTCATTACCAAAGACAATTCCTAACAAATTAGGACTCATTCAAAATCTCATCAGCTCTGCAGACTGTTGTTGATTTGTGCAGTGAGAAACAATGCATATTTTACTGCTGGATATGTGCTTGTGTGTGTGTGTGGGTGGGTGTGTGTGTGTGTGTGTGTGTGTGTGTGTGTGTGTGTGTGTGTGTGTGTGTGTGTGTGTGTGTGTGTGTGTGTGTGCTTGCTGGGGACAGATGAGGTTGGAATAACAATAATTATTATTACTTCAGTTCTTAAAAGTTATTAACAGAGCACATTTAAATTCATCCTTGATTTCATAAGCAGGAAGTGAGCCTCCAGCTGTCTCGTGACATTGCTAAAAGAGTCGGGAATGTTTGATCCTCTATGTCAAATTCAGAGCTTTTTTGTACGTTGTCACGGCAATGGGAGACAGTTTAACTGCACCACTATGTTATTTATCTCCGTATTGCTGCAAACAGATGTCCTGAAATCACCAGTCTGAGTTATTGATGCTGTTTTAAACAACATGTGGTGATTGTGAACGCTTCACAGTCTCCACTGACTGATCTCTGCAAATAAGAGCTTCACAAAGCATTCCAGACGGGAATTTTTACTCCGACCTGGTGATATTACGAGACTGATGGGGTTTTAGAACTGACTCGAGAATGGTGTTTATGGATTAAGAAGAAAACTGTGGTCATTTGCACAGATCTATGTGATGCAGTTCAGCAGTGAGGACTGCTCCCCTGCTCTATTAGGACTAACCTTGTTATTTATTCTAATACTGTAGATATTCTGACCAGGATGCTGAATACCTCTCTACTCAATAAATTCTGCTCAGTTACCACAGACAGGAAATTCTGATTGGCTAATTATTTCCCTTACACTAAATACTATCAAGTTCATTTTGCTCTATCACCAATCAGAAAGGCATATTGGGTTTATTTTTAATGGGAAAATTGTAAAATGACTTGCCCCAATTGATGGAACCATGCATTTAATGTTCTACCAGAAAATCTTGAAAGAGGCCCTGCAGCCCTGACTGGCTGAAGAGGTGATGGTATAAACCTGTGAAGAACTGGACTTATTGAGAACGCTCATTCTGTTTCATTATCTTAAACATCATACATGCTTATAACATAATTTGCTCTCTAATGGATTTGACATGTTATTTGTCTTATTCATTACGTTGAGGAAAGTTCTCAGAAACAAGGATTTTAGCAAAGTGCCAAATTGTTTAACAAATCAAGGATGAAGGTACACCCCCACACATCACCGTCTGTCTCTCCCCTCTCCACCCGTGAACTAATTCCCCCAACAAGATTGATTGATGATTTCTATCAAATAATTGATTAATTGTTAAATTGGGTCCCTTAAGCTTTTCTGCCATCATCGGCTTGCTAGTTATCTTGTTCTTTCAGCTTTTATCAGCTGTTGAAGAAGTGCCACCGATTAAAAGAGTAAGAGAGGGGAAGGGCGATCGAGCCCGTCTTTGCCATGAACAAGTCCCATCCTTTAATCTAACATGTGTACAAAAAGTTCCTCAACCTCCATCATCTTAATTGCTCTTCCTTTCTACTTTTCTCTTTTTAATCGTTGCTTCATTTTTTTTACTTTACGAGGAGAAAAAATATATCACTAATTATTTCTCAGCTTTAATTAGATCTCACCATGCAGGAAATGCTTCTGTGAGGGGGAGTCGGGGCTGAGTGATGGTGGATGGTGGATTTAAGCCTTTTGGCAAATTGACGACATCCAGAAATTTCTTGCTTGGTGGTCGATGCTGAACAAAAATCCTCAGGCACATTTCTGTGTAAAGAGGATTTGCTGGTTAAACTCGTTTCTTTGCTTTCTCGTCAGGGAGACGGCGGACGTGGCCGGCTAGTCAAACAGACTGTTAATAAAGACATTGAAAAGTGTGGATGTGTAATTAAACACGGCTGCTGCCTAACATTAGGGCCGTCTCTGTTCTATAATCTTGCTCCATGTTCATTTTTGTGTTCTTAACAAATACCTTTTCTTTATTTTTGAATTTTTATTATTTGCAGTAAAATGTTGCAGCTTGCTTCTTTCTCTGTGCACATAAACATTAGAATGTGTCCTCTTCCTTAAACTATTTCCAAATTCATGCCATTTTAACACATGGAGCAGAAACGCATGTAAACATGTGTTTCCATGTAACATATGTAAACATGTGTTTCCATGTAACACATGTAAACATGTGTTTCCATGTAACATATGTAAACATGTGTTTCCATGTAACATATGTAAACATGTGTTTCCATGTAACATATGTAAACATGTGTTTCCATGTAACATATGTAAACATGTGTTTCCATGTAACATATGTAACATGTGTTTCCATGTAACATATGTAAACATGTGTTTCCATGTAACATATGTAAACATGTTTTACATGTAACATATGTAAACATGTGTTTCCATGTAACATATGTAAACATGTGTTTCCATGTAACATATGTAAACATGTGTTTCCATGTAACATATGTAAACATGTGTTTCCATGTAACATATGTAAACATGTGTTTACATGTAACATATGTAAACTGTGTTTACATGTAACATATGTAAACATGTGTTTCTGGGATCCAGGAGTTCAAACATACATGAGCTGCAGAATGTGTCTGTTTTACCACCTGTTGATCACTCAGAACAGCACGATGTACACATATTTATGTATGTATAAATCCGTTCATGTTTTCTGGTGCTTGTATTTGTGGGACCAAGCATCACTTGCAGCTGCCCTCTCACTGGTCTAATTGAGATGTGTGTGTATGTGTGGGGTGTGGGAGGGCACTTGGGGGTTTTTGGGTGTGGCTGTGTGTGTGTGTGTGTGTGTGTGTGTGTGTGTGTGTGTGTGTGTGTGTGTGTGTGTGTGTGTGTGTGTGTGGCTACAACAGATGGCTGTGTGTCCTCTGCCTGATGGTCCAGAGGAAAATAATAACTGCATTGTCTCAGCCAGATCCAAATTAGTTTGCTGGATTGTCGCCCGTTACGCCCAAAGATGATTCGTAGCCAACTTCTCCTCATGCCAGGCTATTATATGTAGCAGCATGATGAGTCACACACACACACTGCCCCAACTTGCATGCCTCACATGTAACATGGAAGCCTGTTTCTGAATGGTTGCTATGCATAAAGCAAGTGTTAAATGACCCAATTTCTTTTTCTTTTTTCCTTTTTGGATGAATTCTGTTAAAATGATTGCAAGTTAGGCTTTTTTTTTTTTTAAATGCTGTTGTAAACTTAGGTACATGGTGGTCGTTCTGTAAGGCTGTGGAAAGTTACTTATACAGGAATAGTTCAACATGTTCACAGTGAGGTTCTGTTAGAAGGCTATCAGCAGTTAATATCTTTAAAAGCAAAGTCAGCGACAGACACTGTGAGCTCCAGGTATACGCCGTCACCTTCCTAACATAATGACCCAAGACATGTTTTGCCAAAAGGGATTTTTTTTTGTGCCTAAATCACTGCTGACCATTATTTTAGGAAGATGACAGTATGTTTGTCTTCGGTGATGTTTAGTTGGATCCAGAATGCAGGCAAGACAAAGCAGCATACTGATGATTAAGGATTTAGTGCTAGAAAAATGGCAACTTACAATTATAATGAACATGAACAGGAAGCTTTGGTATAAATAATAATATCAGTTGATATAAGACTAAAAATAGTGTAAACAGAGACACAAACAACAGTCTGCTTTATGATTGTGAATCTGACTAACTCAGAGTGAGACCATTTAAATGCTCAGGAAATTATTTTGAGTTAATTAGCTGTTTATGGTGTGACACCATATAATATGGGAGTTTCATTTTCTGAAATAAATGGCATGAAATATGCACATTAACAAAGTAGTTTTAGTCGTTTTGTTTTTTTTAGTTATACTCATTTAAATTTACATTCTGGACTTTACAATAGCCAATACAGAGAACTTATGAAAACCTGCCATTAACCATCAGCCATTAGCGATAGGGTTGAATGTTTGGACCTACAAAGGGCTTTGTGTGAAACTCTGATGATAATAAACCGTAATTGTCTAACCTTGGATTATCACCTGAATGAATCAGCTTCCTGTTAGGTTATGTATCTCTGTATATTCAAAAAATTATCACACAATTTTTCAGTTTATGTTGGTCATCATCACATGATCATACAAAAGAGACAAAAATATAACAAAACCCAAGTCATATGGGATTATTGATATTTAAGCTTAGTTTGATGAAAAGAAAAAATGATTAATTTTCTTATCAACCAACAGAGTTTGAACATGGCGTCACTTTCTCTTTACTTGTTGACTGGATAGAGATTAGTTCTTATGCACGCATGATGTGTATGTGCGTGTGTCTATGTTTTTGTGCGTGTGTGTGTGTGTGTGTCAGAGATTTTATTTTGTCTTTGTCATTTAAAGAGCCTCTGCAGAGTCCAGACATGCTACCACACTCATACACTTACACACACAGGCAAGGTCATTTTCCTCACACGCACCAATGCACATGAGGGTTATTGTGCTACGTCAGTGCACACCCACACACTCAAGCACACGCACACACACCTACCCCCCACCCTCAGCACACACATAAAAGCACACAGACACATGAAAGGAAGGGTCATTGGAAGGGAGAGAGGGCCTGATCTCTGCTCTATTTCATTGCCATCCACATTCCCTCAGGGAGGATGGGGACCATCCACTTATAAACACACACTCACGCACATACACACTCACCATCTCTCACTTTCACTTCCTTTCCTTACAGTATTCCCTGTGGACTGTCGCTTGTCTGGAGGGTAACATGAATGAATTAGCATTAAACAGTCTGAACCG